AGGGACCTTAAACCTCATCCAGTTCCAACCCCCCCTGCCATCAGCAGGGACACCTTCCACTAGACCAGGTTGCTCAAAGCCTCATCCAGCCTGGCCTTGAACACTTCCAGGGAGGAGCAGCCACAGCTTCTCTGGGCAACCTGTTCCAGTGTCTCACCATCCTCACAGTGAAGAACTTCTTCCTCTGATCTAATCTAAACCCACCATCTTCCAGTTTAAACCCATTTCCCCTTGTTCTGTCATTAACTGCCCCTATGAAAAGTCCCTCCCCAGCTTTCTTGTAGCCCCTTCAGGTACTGGGAGGCCGCTATAAGATCTCCCTGGAGCCTTCTCTTTTCCAGGCTGAAGAGCCCCAACTCTCTCAGCCTGTCCTCAGAGCAGAGGTGCTCCAGCCCTTGGATCATCCTGGTGGCCTGCTCTGGACTTGTTCTAGCTGCTCCATGTCTCTCTTGTGTTGGGGAGTCTTGTCATGTACCTTAGACACTGTTATGATCCACATATACAGTAATTTCTGGAAACATCCATCGCCCTGACAGGCGATGAGCTGGTTGCTGACAGAGTACTGCAAAAAAGTTGCCCTGAGGCAGGATAAAGGATGTTGCTCTGGCCTCTGGAGCCACAGGTCTCTGCTAGTTATGTCCCATCAGAAAATAAAGAACTGGACCCAAAGACAGAGCTGGTGTCACTGTCTAAAAGGTTCTTTGTTCGTTAGTGACCTGCACACAGCTATTGCCCAGGGTCAGGGTTTGCTGAAGGTTCACTGCAACACCACTGGTGCAGCACCTGCTCCTTTCACACCATCCAGCGTCAGTTTGGGTTCAGTTTTGCACCATGTAACTTCAGTCAGGTTCAATTTGGGCTCTTCTTCTCCTCTTTGGATTGGGGCTGGACAGAAATCCCCATACAGCATTTTTGCAACAGCTGTTTTGAGATTCGCGATTACCACAGAAAAGGGAGGGAGGGTAGCACACGGTGGCCATTTTACCCCTGCGTACAAACACTGCTCATCACAAAACAGCAGCGGTTCTGAGAGCACGTCTTCATAGCATGGTCTGCATTCAAAGGGGGGGAAAAATAGCCAGTTTTTAAAAACTAGGGCAAAGGCCAGTAAATTATCATAAAGTTATTTTTGCAAGGGATATCAAAGGGCCGGCTTTGTGAATAGAGAGCTTATATGAGCTTCCGTAAGCTGAAAGTACATTTTGCCCACAGATTTCATTATCAGCTGGAGACAGCACCACTTCACTGATGAGAGATTTCCAAGGAGAACTTTGCAGAAGGAGGAAGGAGCAAAAGTGAGGACTAACATGCCTTTCTGCTCTACTTTCCGTCTGACACCAAAGGAAATGCATTTGTCTGTATATTTATACACCCACATCTTATGGCTTGTTTTATCTGTACATGACTTCATGAACAAAAGGGGTTGAAGGTTTGCCTGATATTAAGTGGCCAGACAAAATGCATTAATCTAGAAATGGATTATTAAATTCCACTGTCAAACAGAAGTAGTCAATAACTACAGGGATTGCAAGTGCTTTAATCACATAAAGCTTCATGTGTACTTTACTGTTAAAAAGTTTTCACACAGTGCAGTTTCAGTCCTGTTTTGATTTCTTCCTTGCCTAACTCTATACTTCTACCAGGCTTTGTCCTACCCTAGTGTGTAGTACAGCCAGCTACTGCGTTGCCTACATCTTCTTTGGGAACTGCCCCTGCTCAGCAAAGTGGGCCAAGTCACCACATACAGATCCTAAATCCAGGGAATTCAATCCACTCACACTCCAAGAACCACAAATCAAATCCATTTCTTCTAGGCAGAAAAGGACATGCTTCTAAGATGATAGTAAGACTCTCTCTCCCCTTTCAAGATGCAAAGAAAGATTCAGTAGAATGCAGAAAACTGCTGCCATTAAAGTTATGGGATACAAAACTTTGACATCCCCACCACATTACCTGCCAACTCGACAGCAATACGAGAGGATTATCTTCAATTCATCTCCAATCCAATCAACCACTTGTTTTTAAAACCACATTGTTGCTCTCTTCCAGCACAGCCCCTGCTGAATTTATCCCAATACAGATTTGCACTGCTCCTACATGTGGTAACATGAAACCAAGCATTTTCTAGCTACTATGGTCCAGAAGATATCTTTTTCTTTCTAACAGTTAAAAGACAGCATCTCTGGGGATTTTTTTTATTTGGTTGTTGTTGAGTTTTTTTATCTCTTGATCAGAATTATCAGACAACATATGCTGTTCTGAGTTAAAACCACTTCAACCTCAACTTATTTATGCATCTTATTTCAGCAGAATTTTCTTCTTCTCAAAGAAATCTTAAGGTTTTGATAAGGAGTTTAAAAAGCTGCATCCATTTTTGGGACAGTTTTCATTTTCTTCATCTCCTCATTTACTCTGATCAGGATTAAACAGATCTGGCACACTTTGGTCCTGTTTCACTGAAGCTGAATTCAGTTTAAGTGAAAAAAAGTGAATTCAGTTTAAGTTTTAAGCTTCCATTCACTTTACCAGAATTTTTCCAAAATGCTCCTACTGGCAAAGCACTGAGCGATTCTTAGCAAGCAATCACATTAAAAATATTTAATTCTCCATGCTTTCTCCAAAAGTATGTTTAAAAAAAAAAAAGAATCAAACCAGATTTAAGGGTTGGTTGGTTTTTGGTTGTTTTTTTTAAGTCCCAATTGCACTAAAGCTGAGAAGTTTGCATTTAAAACAAGACAAAGCAATGCCCTCTAGTGTTCTGCAGAGAAATCTGGTACAAGGCTGCCCTAAGCCTTAAAAAATTCAAGCTCAGGGTTGCTGTACCATCTCAAGTGACACCCAAAGTTTTGAAAGTTTGTGGCTCACATGCAGCATCCTTAGAATGTTCTGCACACAAGTGTGGCCTGCAGAACAACTTGAGATCCTTTCCTTCCCTCCATTGCTGATGCTTGCATCAGAATTTCATGTCAAAAGATGTACGTATTTTCTGGGCATGCACTGATGGCTTAAGGAACATCTGGGAACAAGAGAGGCTTTTGAGAATCGGGAAAAAGCCTGATCCTTTCCTTCTCAGACTTCACAAAATAAATGAAATTCACCTCCTCTTTCATCACCTACAAATACCATCTGTGGACAGTTTTTAACTGTCTCCCCACCTGTGGCACATGACAAGTCACATAATACCCACCCTGCATCTTCCCCAAGTACACACAGCATTTGGTACCCTGTGTTGCTGGCCCACCACACAAACAGGATGATGCTTTGGCTTGAAGAGCTCCAAAGCTTAGTGCATTTCCTCCAAGCAGCAGCATTCCCATGATAATGATAAATTGCAAACAGAACTATTCAAACTCCAGAAATATTTAAATAAAGGAGAGCATTCTCATAGTTCCAAAAAAAACCCCACAGAGCTATTTATTTACACTCTGTACACATTACAAAACTCAATTTTGCATCGCATAAAGGGCTGGAAGAGTTTTTATAAGTGGAGGTCTGAAAAGCAAAAGGACTTTGCCTTGATGAAGGCTGCACTTAAATGGGCAGCTAGGAGTTCTTAAATTTTAACATCCATTGCTCAGGAAAGACAACTGCTGGGCTCTCACCATCTAGAAAGAATAAAAACTTGAATGCCTTTGATTAAACATTTAATTACATCAAGTACTTTTAAAATAATTAACAACAAAAAACCCCATGTTGACCACTGTGCTTTTGTTACTTTATGTACCATTGATCTGCAGAAGAGAGAAACCACAGAGCAAAAAACCCAAGGGGAGGGAGATATTAAAATGAAACATCAGTTCTGCCCATGTCCTATCTGAAATCAGGGTGTATTTTCTGGCAACCTAAGGGGGACAGGTACATTTAGAAAACTGCCAATGCAAAGACAGCACCACAGCCATAAAGTTATTAGCTGGAATTTGTTTCTTGGCTGGAACAATTTCAACAGTTACAAGTTGGCCTGTTAACAGTGTTTCACACTCTTACTGGGACATTCACTGGAAGGAGATTAAAACAGGCCTGGTTTCTTTGGAGAGAAGCTAATTGGCCTGTTCCATAGGTAAAGAGAGAAGTGAGGCACAAGCCTGCACCTTCCAGAGGAATTTATTCCTAAGAACAAAACAAAAGAAGTAACTTCAACAAGTTTTGTTCATAAAAGTAAATTCTCCAAACCAAAGCCTGACAGATTGACCATAGTCCTGCAAAAATTACTGGATATAAATGAAACATCCAGTGAGATCACATGTAGGGTAAATTCTGGACTTGACCTGGCACTTGTGATGAGCCTTTTGGGGCACTGTATTTGTAGCCCTTGTGTCTGGGGTGCAATACAGAATTCAGATGTAGAAGTGGGGTCAAATTAGGAATTTTAAAAAATAGGTTTGAGCTTAGGAACTCCACTTTAACATTTAAATTACATTCCCCTCTTCTCAGAGGGCAACCAATACATATTCTAGTTAAACAAGCAGATACTTTTTTTTTTTCCTCTCTAATTGGGAGTGGTTACTGCCAAGCATCCTGCCCTGCAAAGAAATTATTTTTTATGTTGTTGTACATGTAACCAAATTAAGGGAGGAAAGAAAGTAGTTTAGAGACCATCCAAAAGACAGCTGAGGGAGGATATCCAGTGTCTGTACCACTGCACTAAGAACTATTATTTCTTAGAGGTCTGACACAATATGTCTGTGTGACTGATTGTGTGCACAGAATACTGCCCTGGAGAAGCTACTTGTATATGTATTTAAAAAATAAATTTAAAAAAAAGGGTTCACAGCATCAGCTTCTTCCCTGCTGTATTGTCATTTTATTTGCAAGGGATGGTGTGGGGAAAGGACTGTTCAAAATTCTGGGTACAAAAAAACCCAAGGGAAAGATCTGGGCAAGACAGACATCATCTTGAGAACCCACAGTTTCCAGCCTGACTGAATGAAATAGCTTTTCCACTTCCTCCAGTTTATTTAACAGTCCAGTGCCTCTCACACGCATTCTCACCTTCCCCGCAGAGAAGCAGAACAACCTGAAAGAGAATGAAGGAATATGCTCCAGCATTCTTCGTGGAGAGGCCACACACACATATTGCCATATCTTGAGAAAATGTGTATTGTTCTACAGAGCTGGTAGCATTTTACTAGTGCTTCACTTTGTGAAGATGAGAAGAGTGTCCAAGTAAGACACTGAAACTATCTGAAGCGCACATAGTTTCATCAGTGAAGCAGAAACTGAGCTCTTCCATTCTTCCTCTTGGCCCTCTTCCTGCACTAGTGTTTTGCTATGAGACTAGTGCTGGTGCATTCTCCTTATTTTCTTTCTGTGTCACCATCTGCAGGTACTTCAGTCGCATGGGAGGGAGCTGGTCATAGAGGTCAAATCCCAAAGGGCTCTCTGTGTTCAGCAGTCTGTAGTAGAGTAGGTGCTTTTTCAAGGTCTGAGGAAACAAACAGCAGCCATTAAGCATCTCTGAAAAGAATTTAATCTTTTCCACTCTGTCTTCAATACAACATAGCGACCTGCCAGATAGTACAATTCCATCATGCCCAACATATTTAATTCCATCATCTTGAATCAAAGAGCTATAAAACGTGAGTTTCTTCCAAGAAAATTCACTTTTGATTTGCATGAAATTTCCTCTTCCGAGCACAACTCCACTGTCTCTTCAACAACCCCTCAAAATGACTTCTTGCCAGAAGCCCAAAAGGGATTTTGAGTGGGATCTAAGAATTTACCCTGGAAGCTAAACATAAAGGGCCAAATGACCCAGCTCTGACTGGTCACAAATAATAGACTTTGGCAAGCTCCCTGAGAAAAAGAGAAACCTTATATCTGTTTTGTTCTTTTGGGGGGAAGCATCCAACTAAGAGCTAAGGGAGAAATTTGTTAAACACAAATTTCAAATCAAAGGTAAATCTGTAAGAGTACCGTGTCTGAAAGACTTAAAGTCCCAGAGGCACAGACTGAACCTTACAGTTCCTACCTCATCCACCAACAGCCACGTCTTCCGCAGCATACTTTTCCGAGCAGCATCAGTCTCCTGGGGACAAAACACATACTTTTGCTTAATATGGTGAAATGCTCGCTTTGCCCACGGGCGTACAGCACTCCAGGATGCTTTGCTCATGATGATGATGATGCTCCAAAGAGGAGCTTGTTCCATCAGAAAGGGCTCGAGATGGCTATTGCTTGGATCCTGCCTCTCTCCTCCTTCCCTGACCTGAATCTCAGCTGATTTCTCAACTTTCAAGTAGAACTGTAGATTAGAGGTGAAGTGTTAGCACAAGTTAACAATTGCTAGAGGCCGCAAGGACACGTAAGGGCTTCTACTTGGTTAGTCAAGCAAGGTGAA